CCTCTTGGAGGCCTCTTGGGCCGTCTGGGAGGCCTCTGGGGGGCCTCTTGGGCAGTCTTGGGCCGTCTTGGACTCTCTTGGGCCGTCTTGGAGGCCGTCTTGGACCATCTCGGGCGGACTTGGAGGCCATCTTGGGCCATCTTCGCGATTTTTTGAGGATGTCCCGAGCGAAACGGCCGTTTTTGGGCATTGACAGACGGATTTTCGGAAACTTGCGGGTGGCCGGCGGGACGGGCCGAAGCCCACTGGGGAGTTCTTTTAGAAAAAGAACCAAAACCAAAACCTGAAACGTCCAGCACGCCGTGCACCCCTGCAAGCAGGGGGCGGCGGATCGAAGACGCCTACGGCGAATCACCGCCGCCCCATGCCATTTTGGAAGCGCCTATGTGGCCGAACGTTGAGGCCAGACTTGCCAAGCTATCGGACCACGTGTTCCCCGAATCGGTTTGGAAAGCCTTCGGGGAACACGTGGGCATCTTGAAGGTCATCTTGGCCGTCTTGGAGGCCTCTTGGGCAAGCTTTGGGCGATCTTTGGGGCTTTTTGGGCCGTCTCGGGCCAGCTTCGAGCCAACTTCGGCCATCTTGGTGGGTTCCTGGCACGTATGAAGCCGTCGGAAGCCGTTTGGGGGGCCTCTATGGGCCGACTTGGGGCCCGCTTGGAATGCTCCAGGGCCGTCTTGGAGGCCATCTTGGGCGTCTTGGAGGCCATCTTGGGCGTGTTGGAGGCCTCTTGGGCCCTCTTGGGGCCCTCTAGGGGCCATCTTGGAGGCCACTTGGGCCAGCATGGGGCTCTCTTGGGGGCCTCTTGGGCGATCTTGGGGGCTTCTTGGGCCGTCTTGAGCCGTCGGAGAGCCGAAAAGGCGCAAATGCCAAAATCCTTCAAAAACCAATGGAAAATCAATGATTTTGGCCTCTTCGGACTCTCCTGGAGGACCTCTTGGAGGCCTCTTGGGCCGTCTGGGAGGACTCTGGGGGGCCTCTTGGGCCGTCTTGGGCCGTCTTGGACTCTCTTGGGCCGTTTTGGAGGCCGTCTTGGACCATCTCGGGCGGACTTGGAGGCCATCTTGGGCCATCTTCGCGATTTGTTGAGGATGTCCCGAGCGAAACGGCCGCTTTTGGGCATTGACAGATGGATTTTGGGAAATTTGCGGGTGGCCGGCGGGACGGGCCGAAGCCCACTGGGGAGTTCTTTTAGAAAAAGAACCAAAACCAAAACCTGAATCATCCAGCACGCCGTGCACCCCTGCAAGCAGGGGGCGGCGGATTTGGCGGCTTTCGGCCCGTTCCGCCGCCGCGCCTGAAAACAGGAACGCTTCAACGCCGCCGCGCCTGGCTTGCTGCCTCTTGGGCCCGGGGCTCCTTGGAAGGCACCCCGGAGGCTTCCTGGGGGCCTCTTGGCGTGCGGCGTCCACTGGCCGCCGCCGATCCTGGCGGGGCCCCTCCCGGGCCCAGGGCCCGTGTCTGCGCCCTGCCGGCTTGGCCAGGGCGGCGCACACACACACACACACACACACACACACACATACGCACACACACACAACCACGCACGCACGCACACGCACACGCACACGCACACGCACACGCACACGCACACGCACACGCACACGCACACGCACACGCACACACACACACACACGCACACGCACACACACACACACACACACGCACACGCACACGCACACGCACACGCACACACACACACACCGACTCCAGGCCTAAGTCGGGCGTCTCCCTCTACAGGGGGAGTATACTCAAGAATGCTCGACAGATATTCAGGGGAAGATGTTTCGACCATGTTTGATTCTTTGTTTGAGCATCCTTTGACTCTGTTTGCTATTTCCTCCCAGATAGGAAGGAGGACATGCCCGACCCAAATTCAGGCCCAGGATCGGTGAGGTGGCCAGGGGGGTCTCTTTGGTGGCCCTGCTGGCTGCGTCTGGTGCCACCTCGGGGTGAAGGAGTCCACGTGGCAGGTTCACTGTCCCCCTTTTGGGGCTTCTTGGGTGTCTCGGGGTCTCTATTGGTGTTGGGTGCGTTAGGGTCCGTCTCGGACGCCCGTATGACTCAAAAGCCGACTGTCCGAAGTCATGCAAAAACCATATACCATGTTCAAGGATCTGGGTATCTTGTGCTGGCCCCGAGGGCCTCCAAGACGGCCGGAGAGGCCCCCGAAGGGGCTCCAGCACGGACTCTTGGGACAATCTTGGGGCGTGTTGCCGGGTGAGGCCAAACACGCTCCCCAGGCATGTTGAGGAATTCTCGACGATTCGCTTATCCCCACCAGCCCATCCAGAAGCAGAGCCAGAAGCAGATCGCCGGCGAGTGCAGTGCAACAACCGCTTGGCAGCCTTTCCTCGGAGGTCTCTTGGAGCCATCTTGGGGCTCCCTCGGGGCCCTCGCGGAGCCTCTTGGTGTACTCCTGAGTCCCTCTTGGGGCTCTCTAGAGCCCTCTTGGGGCCCTCAGGCCCTCAAAACCGCGCTCCCCAGGCGCGTGGAGAAATTCATGCGGGCAGCCCCGAGCGGCGCCCCCGCCGGGTGCTGCAGAACCTGAGATCCGATATCGTGATTTTTTCAATACAGGGTCCCTGGAAGTCTCGACCCATTCTCCAGGACCGGTTTTTCATCCTGAGTCGTTTTCTGACGGTCCCGAGGCCCGGTAAGGGCCCCCAGAGGCCGAAAACCGTAAAAAACCTCCGTCGTGATTTTTGTCCAATGCGTTGGATCTTTGGGGAGGGAGGGGGGTCCCGGGCCCCAGGGCCTCCACGAGACCCAGCCCTTCTTCCTGAGTCGCTCTTGGACGGTCCTGGGGCCCGCGGAGGGCCCTGCAGGGGGCCGAGGGGAAGGCGGAGGAGGAGGTCCAGCACCGCGCTCCTCCAGGGTGGCCGCCACCGCCGTGCTATATCTCCAGCGGTTCGACACCCTGACGTCCGCAGGTCTGAGTCTTCATCTTCTCGGGCAGTGGCGAGGCGTCCTGGCTCACCTCCCTAGGCCCACCGAAGAGTGTTCTAAGAACCTGTTTATGGTCTGGCTGGTTTTAACGCATCGGGTTTGTCTAAGAACCTTGTTTTCTGTGTTTGGAACATATCTGGGTTAGAAGAACATGTCACAGTAGGACTATTAGAAATGCCAGATCTGATTCTTCAGTTTCGGCTGACCGATCCCCGTCTCCATCCCCATGCAGATCCAGACCCCCACCATCTCACCACCCCAGCTGGGGACATGCCCGTTGAAGCTCGAACGGAATAGCCTACATCCCTGTCTCGTGCTCCATCCGCGGCCCCAGAGGCCCCCGACCCCGTCTATAGGGCTGTAGGCTTGCGCCCTGCATCCGTTTTTGGATGGTCCCAGGGCGCGGTGATGGGCCCCAGAAGCCGAAATCGAGGAAACACTTTTTGGATCCGCGGGTCGAGAGCGCACCTCTTCCGGTCGAAGCTAAGCGGGCCGCGCGAAGCTTGAATGAGGCAGAGAAGAGGAGGGAGGAAGCGGACAAAAAAAAAACAAAAACCTCAAAAAACAAGGAAACGCGCCAGCATTGAAACGATCCTAACGTCGGAGGCCTGGGGTACTGCGGCGCCGCCGGCCCTGCCGGTGGCACCTCTCTTGGGACTCCCCGCGGGCGACCTCTCCCGGGACCCGCCGAGGCTCCCCGGGGGGGGTGGGCGAGGCGGAATTCCGACCGGGGGAACCCCCCCCCCCCCGGACCCCTCCCCGGCAGGGCAGGGAAAAAGGGGAGGGAACGGTACGACGTTCCTTTTCCAGGCACGATCTCCCTGAGATCCGACGTCGTGATTTTCTCAATGCGAGGCCCCTGGAAGTCTCGACCCCTTCCCCAGGACCGGTTTTTCATCCTGAGCCGTTCTTTGACGGTCCCGAGGCCAGGTAAGGGCCCCCAGAGTCCGATTTTTTTTTTTTTTTATATATATATATATATATATATATATATATATATATATATATAAAAAAAAAAAAAAAAAAAAAAAAAAAACTCCGTCGTGATTTTTTCAATACGTTGGATCTCTGGGATCGCGTCGTAAAGATTTCAGGACGGGGGGGTTTCAGTATTTCCGGCCCTCGGGTGCCCTCGCCGGGACCCGGGACCGTCAGCAAAGAACAGCTCAGGATGGAAAACCGGCCCCGCAGGGAAAGGGTCTGGAATTCCGGAGACGCCGCACTGAAAAAATCAGGATGTCGCACGTCTGGGTTCCATTGCTCCTCTAGTTCTTCGGGGACTGACGACGACGACGGCGCCAGCATCAAGTCTGGCCTGTCCCTCCACAGGGGGAATGCTCAAGAATAGTCAAAGAATAGTCTGGGGACTATGTTTTGAATATTTTTTTTACAATTTTGGAGCACTGTTTGAGTATTTTTGTTCGTCGGAAATTCCCCACTCCACGTGGGTGCCCGCGCCGGCTGGCGGGGCGGCGGGCCTGTGCGCGGACGAGCGCTGTGGCGACAAAGTGGCCGTGAAGCACGTGAGGAGTGGGAGCCCGAGTCGTCAGGGGCAGCTCGAGTCAGGGTTATCTCGGGTTCTCGGTATCGCTCGGGCGTGTGGACCTTTCCTCGGCGGGGATCATTGAGGAGCATCCTGGATCATCCTGCGAAAAACCACGCACGAAACCGACAAGTCATCCTGCGAGGAGTGAGAGCCTCGAGTCGTCAGGGGCAGCTCGAGTCAGGGCTATCTCGGTCGACTAGACGTAAGAGTGACCTTTCGCAGGAGTGACCTCTGGTGCGGGCACAGATAGGCCCCCAGGTGGCTGAAAACGGAGCGGCAGCAGCAGCTGGCGCGCTCAGGTTTGGCCCCCCCGCGGCCCGCAAAAAGCCGCGCACCAAAGGTCACTCTTACCCAGGGTCACTCTTGCGTGTAGCCGACTCGGGTTCTTGGTATCGCTCGGACGTGTGGACTTCTTCCCGGTGGGGATCATTGAGGAGCATCCTGGACCAGCCTGCGAAAAAGCCCACGCACGAAACCGAACAAAAAGCATAGGGAATGGACGTCCGAGCGATGGCCAGGGTTCGTCTTTCGGGAATCCAAGCCTGAGTTACCCCGGGCCCGACTTGCCCCAGATAACTCAGGCGCCCAGAGCCCCAAATCATCAGGGGTCACTCGGGTCAGGGTTGTCTCTGGTCCGTTTGTCGGGAATCCAAACCCGAGCTGCCCCAGGCCCGAATTACCCTGGATAACTCTGGCGCCCAAAGGAACGCCACGTCCCAGGGCAAGGTCGTGCTGCGGGAGATCCGGTTCCTGGCGCGCCTGCGGCACGTCGTGGGGGAGAAAACACACACACACAAACACACACACACAGCATGCTCGAGTCGTGAAAAGAGCACGAGGCGAGGCTGTTAATTAGCCGTTTGCGGCGTCAGGGGACCCTCGCCAGGCCCTGGGACCGTCAAAAAGTTGCTCGGGGTGGAAAACGGGCCTTGGGGGAAGGGTCGGGCCTTCTGGGGCCCCGCGTTGAAAAAATCAAGACATCGCATGTTTGGGGGATCTGGTTCCCGGCGCGCCTGCGGCGTGTCGCGGGCGAGAAAAAAAATACAGCATGGGGCCCCCTTGGGGGCCATCTTGGAGGCAATCGAACACAGGGAAGGGGGTCCCCCACGTCAGTCACCCCCTGGGGGGCCCCTCTTGTGGCGTCCTTGGAGCGCTCTTGGGCCCCTCGTCGGGCTCTCCGGGGCCACCTTGGAGGTGGTTTGTGCCGCGTCGGCGCGGCGACGACGTCGCGACGTCCTCGAGGGGGCTCGGGCGTTGTCGCGGGTTCTGGGAGGCGTTCCCGCTGCGGGATGCGCCCCAGCAGGTGCACCCCGTCGGGCGCGTTCCGGGGACGCCTGGATCGTCTACATCGGCCGCCAGATGCCCGAGCTTTGACCCGAACGCTACACCTCCGCACCGGCCAGGGTGCGTTGCTCAGGGGGGGGTTCGCCGAATTCCATCGCCCAGGTGGGCTGGAATGCCGCCCCTGCGTGGATCGCTCCCGCCAGAGTTCCCCCGCAGGCAGGCCCCGGATCGCCCAGGGGGGATTCGAGAATGGTCCACAAAATAGTCTGGGCACGATGGTTCGACTATGTTTGAATGCTCGTTCGTATCTTGTTGAGTACGCTTCATTGTTCTTCCAACGTCCGCCTGTAGGGGGACATGCCCGACCTAAGAGGTGGCTCATCTTCCTCGGTGGAAGACAGCGGGAGGCCGACGGCGCAAGCAACAAAAGGAGGGCGCCTCCGCCGGGGCGGCAGCCCGTGGGAGTTTGGGGGAGCCCGCCGGGGCGGAAGCCGGGCGGGCCCACCGAGGAGCAGGTCCACAGAATGAACTTGGAGTATTTTCATAGTGTAATTTTTGAAGAGGAGGAGGAGGAGGAGGAGGAGGAGGAGGAGGAGGAGGAGGAGGAGGACCGCGGGTTGCCTGAGCCAGCCGCACAGAGGAGACCCATGCCAAGAGGCACCCTGCTTGCCTCCAGGGTGCCCCTGGGTTTCTTGGGTCTCGACGGCTCTGCTCCGGGAAAAGCGTGACGTGCCCACACCAAGAGAGTCGGCGGAGGTCCCGGGGTCCCAGGGTTGGGTGTGTCTTGCGGAGTGTTTCCTCTGGTCGGGCCGCTGCTGTATCTTCGGGCTCGCGGTCCGGGCCCTCGGCTCCCCGCGGGGACAGGGTGGCGCGGCGCGGACCTCCCGCGTGGAGCGCAGCCATTCGACCGCGCGCCCAGGGGGGACCGCGCCTCGGTTTTTAAGTCGGGCCTGCCCCTGCATATAGGAGTTTTTTTCTTTTTATATATATATATATTTAAACAAAAAAATGTAGAACAGTCTGGGGACGATGTGTTGGCTGCTTTGTATAGTTGCTGCAAATGATTCGACTGTTTGTTTTTGAATGGATAGTTGTTGCAAGTCCGCCTGTATGGGGACATGCCCGACCTGCGCCTCGGTGGCTGGGGCGCGAGGGGGGGGCAGAGCGGCCGGGGATGCCGCGCCGCCCGCCGCCCGCGGGGAGGCACGAGAACCTGCTGCACCTGCTGGACCTCCCCGCGGTGCCGTCGAGGGGCTTCAAGGACATGTTCCTGGTGCCCGGAGGAGAAAGTCGAAGAAGAACAAAAACACATAAGCATTATTCTTTGTTGGCGCTCCGCACGGATTTCTTGGATGCTTGCTGGGAGCCCCCCCGGCGGCGCCTCCGGCGCCGCCCCTGGCGCGCTCCGCGCGCCAGGGAGGGGGGGTCCAGCGCAGATCCAAGAACTCCGCGCGGAGCGCCAAAAGTTCATGTTGATGTGGTTATTTGTTTTCTGATACTGCTACCCTTCCCTCGTTCTCCTCCTGTTCGCCCTCCTGGGAGGCCCTCGTCGCCACCGCCGGATTCGCCTCGAAATCTTTGTCGGAGCGCACCCTGGGAGATGTCCAGGGAGCAGCGCTATCGGTTTTCTGTTTGGTTCCCCCAGGTGTTGCCGTACTTGCCCACGGACCTCGACAAGGCCCCCGCCGAGGGCGCTCCAGCTGGACCGCCGCCAAGTGGCCCAGAGTCGGCAAGTCTCGAACGCTCCTGCGCTATCGGATAGCCGCAATCGTGCACGACTGAACGAGCCACGCGGTGTCAGAAGCTAGCGACAACGTCATCCCAGACATCCAACGACGTGATGTTTGCAATGCGCGGCACAGAGGTCCCGACCCCTCCCCCGGGGCCAGCTTGTCGCCCAGGATCAGTTTGTGATGCATGGCCAACATCGAGGAACAAATCCCATATTGGAAAAAACACCTCGTCGGAGATATGGGAGATCGGCGTGAGCCAACCGTGAGGTCATTCACGACAGGCCCAATGACCACCTCAGCGACGGGCACGCGAAGTTCATCGTCTCGCAGATCCTCCGGGCCGTCGGTCACCTCCACGCTGCCGGAGTAGCGCACCGGGACCTCAAACCGGCGAACGTGTTGCTCTCGGATGCCTTCAGGGTCAAGGTTTGCGACTTCGGCTTGGCGCGCTGCGGCATGCAGTTCGACGCAGAGGCTCGGTGAGGATCCGCGAAGAAGCCGAGAAACAGGAAGCAGTAGCCACAAGAGTGCGGTCCAGAGAGCAGCGGTATCGGTATATTGTTGTTCCTCCGTCCGGGATGCCAGAGGTCGAAGGAGGACAAGATACCGATGATGCTGCCCTTCCCTCGTCGCAACGGCTGGATTAGTCTCGAAGCCTTGGTCAGAACGCAGTCGCGGTATCGTTTTCTGTTCTCCCTCAACATCTAGTCCTGACCCGAGGACGTCCCAGCGTTTCGAGCCCCTTGGGAGCACCTGGGGCCCTCTGGGCTTCGTGAGGAGCGAGTGCTCTGAAGGCCGCATGGGGCCTCCCCATGAACTCTTGGGGGCACCTTGGGCCTGGGATGGGTAAGGCCTCGGGCTGCGCACAGACACTGAGATGACTCGTGGGTTTGCTAAGGCTTATAAGGTTCAGCTAAAGTTTAGCGAACATATAAAGGTTCATCGGAGGTTTAGCAACGACGGGCTTATAAATTTTATAATCGTTTATCGCGCTTTGAATATAAGCTATAAATGGTCGCGCGTGCCGGCACGCGCGCACTCCAAACAGCACGTGTGTCTCCGCAGTTTCGTATAAATCCTGGGAGTCGGCGCATCAGAAATCATCGCTTCCCTGCCTGCTGCATGCTTCTCCACCCACCCCGATCTCTGATCAAGTGAACTCACATCTCCTCTTCTTCCATCTCCTCCTCCTGTTCCTCCTCCCCCCTCACCCAAACGATCGCCTTTGCTGCATCCCCCTGCCCCTCGTCCGAGGGATCGCAATCGCTGCCTCCTCCATCCTCCTCCTCCAGCTCTCGCGACGGCCTCGCCATCTGTCGCCTTCGTCGTCGTCATCGTGCTCCCGCGGTTTTGTTGATTGAATTTAACTGCTTGATCGCTGAACGCGAGGAGGGAGGAGGGAACAGGAGGAGGAGGACGATGACGAGGAGAAGGAGACGTAGACGGAGGAGGAGGAGGCGAAGGAGGAGGAAAAGGAGGAGGAGGAGGAGGAGGATAAGGAGGAGGAGGAGGAGGAATTCACGCCAGGTGCACGGGCCTTCTCTTCCTCCCTCCTCCTTTCTTTTCCTCCTCGCGTTTTTTGTTTGCTTTCAGCCGCGATGGATTGGGCGCGCGCGTTCGCGTAGTCATCGTTTCTGGTTGGGCTGTGCGGCGGGGCTCGCGAAGCGTATTCGAAGGGTTTTTTACCAATGGGTGCAACGCGCGAGCGAGCCCCATGCTCACGAAAACCCGAGTGGCAAGATGGTGCCGACGGTTCCGTCTGGGTATGCGCAGTACTCCATTGCAGCAAGAATGGCTTTGGTCCCCCAACACTCCGCAGGATAATCTGCAAGTTTCCACACTGCGCTTTCGTGTCTCATGGGTGCGCTGGCGCAGTTCCATAGCCCCCACCATAAACACAACTTCGCCATTGACATCGCAATGAAGCTTCACACGGGCGGCCAGCGTGCCATCGGCGCCATTCAAGTGCACAGCGCCCCCATTGACTGCATAAGCCGAGTTGGCTGAAGTGAGCATCCTTGTCAACATTGACTGGGAGGCCAGCGCCTTCCAGTCCCAATGCGCCCATTATCGGCTGCCTGCTTTTCTCGGGCGCCCTGCGTCCCTGCACCAAACCCAAGTAGGGGGAATCGATGGGCCCACTTCTCTGTCCTGCGTGGGGTGTGTCTCCTTGCGTGGGGTGTGTCTCCTTTCTGTCCTCTCCTCTCTCCTTCCTCTCCTCTCCGCTCCTCTCTCCTCTCTCATCTCTCTCTCCCTCTCTCTTTCTCTCTCTCTCTCTCTCTCTTTCTCTCCCTCTTCTCTTTCTTTCTCTCTCTCTCTCTCTCTCTCTCTCTCTCTCTCTCTCTCTCTCTCTCTCTATCTCTCTCTCTCTCTCTCTCTCTCTCTCTCTCTCTCTCTCTCTCTCTCTCTCTCTCTCTCTCTCTCTCTCTCTATCTTTCTACATGTCTCTCTCTCTCTCTCTCTCTCTCTTTCTCTCTTGCTCGTCTCTCTACTCTCTGTCTCTCTCTCTCTCTCTCTGCTACATATGTGGTTGCCCATCAGTCCAGGCGCTGGGGTGTGATGGCCAAGGCTCAGAGTCACGAGGCTGGGTTCTCGCGTTGGGTAATGATTCGCTCCGATTGAATCATATTGAAGCAGTTGGCTCGGACGTGCCAACGTTTTTTTGTGGAAAACACAAAACGAAACAGCATCCCAAAACTGTGCTGGCAGTTCTAGAAACAATCAAGTGAGTTCAGAACCTGTGCTGACCCGCGGAGTTGCGCCCAAGTTTCGTCGCCTGAATCTTGATTCTTTGGACCTTCAAACCTGTCAGGTCTTTATGATGTTTCTTGTTTGGATTGTTTTGGTTCTTTTAGACCTGTCAGCACCTTCCTGCTCCTTCTCCTCCTCCTCCTCGTCCTCCTCCTCCTCCTCCTCCCTCCTCCCCCTCCCTCCTCCTCCCCCTCCTCCCCCTCCGCCTCCTCCTCCTCCTTCCCCACCTCCTCCTCGTCTCCCCCCATCCTCCTCCCCCCCCAGCCTCCTCCTACCCTCCTCCTCTTCGTCCCTCTTTCCTCCTCCTCCACCTCCATTTCCTCCTCCTCCTCTTCCTCCTCCTGCTCCTCCCCCCCTTCCCTTCCCCTCTCGGTGAAATCCTCGGGCGGCCCTTCCTCCTCGCCATCCTCCCCACACTCATCCTCTTCCTCCCCCTGCTCCTGGCCCGTGGAGCCCCGCCCAAGATTCTTCGCCAGAGTGTTTTTGATGTTTAAAGGTGTATGTTTTTTTACCGAACAGCTTTTGCTGATAGGTTTCTAGCGGTTTCAAAAGAGAGCAGCAGATGACTCCACAGGGGGGTCGGGGCGGGACCCGGGGCGGTGCCGCCGAAGCCCAAATCGCTTGGAACATTCTCGCAAAATCGCTCTCGGCGCTGCTAGAACTCCATCCCCGGCGTACCTTTTGGATGCCCGGAGCCAACTGTAGGCCACTTCGTGGTCTTCGAGTTCCCAGAACTCCATCCCCGGCGTACATTTTGGATGCCCGGAGCCAACTGTAGGCCATTTCGTGGTCTTCGAGTTCCCTGAACTCCATTGCCGGGCCACATTTTGCATGCCCGGAGCCAACTGTAGGCCACTCCGTGGTCTTCGAGTTTCCAGAACTCCATTCCCGGGCATGATTTTGAATGCCCGGAGCCAACTGTAAGCCACTTCGTGTTCTTCGAGTTCCCAGAACTCCACTCCCGGGCCACATTGTGAATGCTGAGGCAGGCTGATGCTGAGGCTGAGGCAGGCTAAGGATGAGGCAGGCTGAGGCTGAGGCCGAGGCTGAAGGCAGACTGAGGCTGAGGATGAAGCAGGAGGCTGAGGCTGAAGCTGAGGCTGAGGCTGAGGCTGAGGCTGAGGCTGAGGCTGAGGCAGGCTGATGCTGAGGCAGGCTGAGGCTGAGGCTGAGGCTGAGGCTGATGAGGCTGAGGCTGAGGCAGGCTGAGGCTGAGGCCGAGGCTGAAGGCAGACTGAGGCTGAGGCTGAAGCAGGCTGAGGCTGAGGCTGAGGCAGGCTGAGGCTGAGGCAGGCTGAGGCTGAGGCTGAGGCAGGCTGAGGCTGAGGCTGAGGCAGGCTGAGGCTGAGGCCGTGACTGTGACTGCCGTTGCCACTGCGACTGTCATCGCGAATGCGACTACGACTGCGAGAACAGTAGAATTCCACAACTGGATTCTCATCTGAATCGTAAGGGGAATGCTTCCCGAGATGCTCCTACACATCGCTGTTAGGTTGCTTTGCCGGGATAATTTGTTTGAAACAGTTGTCAGCACTTTTTGTTCCTCCTCCTGTTCCTCCTCCTCGTCCTCCTCCTCCATATTTTCCTCCTCCTCATCAGATTGCCCCCCCTCTTCTTCCCCACTCCCGTTGTCCAGGACGAAGCTGGGGGAGATAGGGGGGAGAAAGGTGAGAAAAGGAGGAGGAATGACGATGGGACAGAGACGCATATGATCGTGATTCAATCTGATTCAATCGCTGTCTGCGAAGCGTCGCCACGCGAGGCTCAAGTGCAACGCGCAGACGTACCAAGCTCTTGATACATCACCGCGCTTCCACCTTGAAGATGCAAGGCGGCCCCCCATGCAATGGCAGGCTGACCTTCCAAGGCTGCCAGAGAGCAGTGGCTTGTCCACGTGTCAAAGGCCACAGCGACAGACCGTGAAGTCCGTGGGAGAAGTTCCATCACAAGTGGGAGAAGTTCCATCACGTGGGAGAAGTTCCATGACAAGTACCATCATCTTATTCAAAAGAAGCCATGTGAGTTGGGAGAACTCGGTCCCGGCGATTACCATGAAGCTATTCAAGAATTGAATCCATCTCGTGCAGTGGCTGGTTGTGGATATCGGGTCCAGGAGCTCAAAGCACTACCCAAGAGGATCACAACTCTCTACTGTGAGGTCGCTCGGTACATCGAAGCTGGAGGAGATTGGCCAGATTCGCTGTTGGAAGTATATGCCAGCGCTGTGCGAAAAACCGACATCCCAGAAGCAGACGACAACGGAGAAGAATATTTTATTTTACCTGCTGCAGCCAAAACTAGGATCATCAATAACTATACGCCCCCTATTACTTGTGGGGAAAAGGCGAGATGGAGAAATACTGAGAGTCGGAGGGAGCCCCGGCTACCAACATCTACGCATGGAGCCCGCGCAGGACACGAAGCTCAAGAGGTCTCGATGAATCACTCAGTCGAGACCGAGTTGGCCAGACTCCTAGGACATCACTCACTAACACGAAGCATCGATTGGGAACAATTTTTCGACCAGGTTTATAGATCGATTGGAGGCCGCCTTCTGGAAGCTCACATGGACCATCAAAATGCCACAGAGTACGCAAATGGTTACCTTGATGCGGAGGCGCGCCTACAAAACACAGCCAGATACCGCTTCAAACTAGGGGGAGCCGTGGAGCAGACCTCACGTACACGTGCGGGAGGATACGCCCAGGGACCTAATTATAGTATCCAAGTTTCATCAGCGTCGATGGCGGTGTGGTCGAGATCGATTGCGGAGGAGACCAGATGCAGCACCGCTGGTTTGGTGGATGACTCATCGATCAATGCACGAGGACTCGACACAGAAGAAGTTCTTGACAACGGAAGACGGGCCCTGGTGGAGTGCGAGGAGTTTGGCAAATACACCGGACGCAGGCTCAACAGAAGCAAAACAAAGGCACTGGCGAGCACATCACAAGTACGAACGGCAGTGGAAGAAGCTTTCAACAATATCCCATTGAGATGTTCACGGGCAATTATTCTTGTTGGTGGAATCCTATCAGATGGGACGGCAGCTTCGTTGAAACAAAGAAATAAGCTAGCCAGCCGTAGGATCGACGAGCACACGGACGTTCTGACGCGGATTGATCGAGGACCTCAGTCGTACGATTTCCGTGAAAGGTGTCTGACGTTGTACGCTTCCCCCACGGGGTTCTACGGATGTGAGCAGCACTTGTATAATATTACTACGCTACAACATATGGCGGTTCGGGTACATCGGGTGATGCTGGCAGGAAAGACTATGTACCGAACGCGAATTACAACCTTCACGCTGGCGGCCCATGGGCATTTAATTGACCCATGGATGGCATCGAGATGCTTTGCACTGGTGGTGGTACGACGTTTACTTCAGAAACGCTCAAACATCCTGGCGGCATTTGAAGTAATCATTGGCGAGTACGATAAAGAACCACCGAATAAAGATGACAGACACGGACCTGCGAATATATTTCTTATTATTCTACACGAGCTCAAGTGGAATATAGACGAAGATTTTGTGATCACCAGGCCGACAGGAGGAAAGATCCATCTTCTTGAATCAGATGACTTGCTTTTCCGACTCATCTTGAGAGCTGATCTCAGAAAGGTTGCATGGACGCCAGGGTTTCACATTCACACACGCAGAGACCGACACTTGCGAGCAGAGTACATCGGAACGGAGGTTGGAATTGAATATGAAGCTACGGTGAAGTTATATCGCCAACGTCGTAGCAAAGGGAAACGTCATGATGCACAAGATACTCCTGGAGGTGCAGCTGTATCTCCATACAAGTGGTCTTTTGCACGACGAGCGGCATGCAGACTTCTGTGGTCGGCAGGGCTAATTTCACCAGACAAGTTGGTGCCTCGACGTCTGGGGAACGCCGATTGCCCCTACTGCCGCAAGCCAATCGAGGAGACAGTACAGCATGCCCACTGGGAATGCGAACACCACGCTCCTGCGAGAAGATGGCTTTTTGACAAATACACGGAGGACGAGATCAACGCTGTCCCTCTCTTCACACGCCTGACTGGTATTATTGCAGATGATGACGAGTTAGACAACGTGTTCGCGGAAATTGCACTGGGCGCACAGGAAGACCCTGACCCCCATCCCCCTCAACTTGAAGAGGGGGACGAGATGAGCGTGGACTCAGAAGGATATCTCGTGGTGGCTGGTGATGGGGCTGCTCCTCCGGGGCAAACTGATATGAGGCTAAGACGCGCTGGGTGGGGTCTCTTTTATGGGGAGGGGCATTCACACAACACTACGGAGATTTTGAGAGGGTCGGTTCAGACTGCCCAGAGGTCGGAGGTCCGCGCGGCGTTGCGCTGGGCAGCGTGGGCATGGCCCCGCCAGGTGTATGTAGTAGATTCCGACTACGTTTGCCGCGGCCTCCGATCGATCATTCAGAGGAAGAATTTCAAATTCAAATCACATCGAGACTTGTGGAGAAGAATTTAGATTGCCATTCGAATGAAGGGCGAGGAAAACTTCAAGGTACGCAAAGTTCGGAGTCACCAAACAAAGGAAATGACTGAAAATGAAGTAGCAGCTGGCAGACAGGCGAGACTACACAATGAACAAGCAGATAAGCGTGCGGTACAGGCAGCACTCAGGAATGCAATTGACGAGCAGATCCTCGAGAGGTACAAAAAGAGGGTAAAGCTGGCACAATACATACAAAGCATGTTATTGGACGTTGTACAATATCGGGAAGCAGCAGGTTTCAAACTCTTCGGGCACGGCAATCGAGGAGCACACATACAGGGGCACCTTCAACAGCAGGCCGAACTAAGCGAGCAAGCCCTACATCAGTATGAGGAGGACAGGGACGCGGAGGGGGTCATGTTTGAGGAGGAGCCAGATGTTTTCGGATACGGAGGAGGAATGGGCGAGGAGACAGAGCAGCAGCCAAACGTACTATCCTCCTTACCGACACCGCTACCACCAGAACCCCACCCAGAACCTGTTCGGCGACGGCTTCGGGGAAAACAACAAGGGGAAGGGCTACCAGGACAACATGAGCCAGGGTCTTGGGCGACGCCATCGCCTACCAGGCCAGGTGCCAGAAGCTCTACGGCACAAACTCCAAGGACCCCAGGGCCATCTCAACCAGGCCAGGGAGCTCGGGGCACGGGAGAAAAAGCAAGTACGTGCAGCGACCTCGGTCCTGCCATCGGCGGGGAAGGCGGAAAGCACAGTGGGCACGGGGGCCACAAAAGAGCAGGTCTTCCCCAACTTCTGGTGGGAGCCGAGGGAAGTCAGCCCAGGCCAACCGCATCTCAAGGGGAAAAAGTTGACGGATCTGGAATTTCACAAAGTAGATTGGATATACAAACGGAGCAATGCAGAAGCGATCTTTTGGCATTGGCAGAATACGCACATAGATCCCAACCCACCAGCGGCGCCTGAAAGCTTCGAGAGAGCGGCAGCCTACGCTACCTCGTCGATCGCGGCCGTGATCGACTTTGTCTATGCGACGGGGGAGCACATGGCACTGCGTTCAGGGAGCTCGGGAAACTCGATTGGGGCACAGGCGAAGATGTTCATCGCAGCGTCCAACAATATGTTCAAAGTTTGGAGTGAAGATTTCCGAGGTCACGACGTGCGACAAGAAGCAGAGGGAGGGACAGGCGATCATCCCACCCTTGAAAGAATGTCGACATATTTTCTTGTTGAGCCTCAAACATTCCACAGGTATCCAAGGTCGGCTTCGTGCGATTATGCCAGAAGCGACAAATTCATTGTTATTCAATATTGCGGCGATGGGAATGGCACTGGACGTTCCAAAGCCGTGGTCAATGCTGTATTTTCCAGCACACAGCATCCAACCAGCATGGCAGGGCAATCTCCAAGTACATCAGTCTCGACGGTTGAGAGGCAAACGCGCATTACACAGCAGAGGCCAGGTGAAATACGGAGTATTGAATATCAAAGAACGTCCAAGAATCAGACCGAATCATAATATGTTGAAAGTTGCTTTCACTGATGTGCTGACCGAAGACGGCAGGAATATCCTCAAGAGTGCCAAAACAAACTTTCGGAGGAGCGAGGATAAGCGGCGATTTCATAATATCACGGCAAAGGAGGACGAGACAATGCACATCTTCCTGAACCCTTTCGACAATCCGTTGGCCACCGTCTTGAGATGTCAAAGATGCGAAAGAGATATTGGCTTGCGGAGAGCAGAAGGAGAACAACTTGTCGCATGGAGTCACGCATTGAAGACGTGTCCTGGACGATGGAATCTTGGGGAAATGACCTTGGGAGAATGGCAAAAGCTCTCTGCACTCAGATATCGTACACACGCCAAGTATATCGAGGAGTACAACTTGAGCGGGGACAAGGACAATGAAGTACGGCGACATCTTTTCTTTGACATGCAGCGGAACTTCACTATGATATATGCTTGTCGGAGACCCTTGTGCAATATTCACAGTCAGGGGATGGACATTAAGAAGATCAGATACTATGCGGGGACAGCTTGCACGGGCATGGTCACATACGAAGAACGACATGGAGGCGATCAACGCTACTATCTCAATCAGGACAGATACGACAAGTTACCCGAGGCGTCAGTGAGCTCGTGAACTTGAGTTGGGAACGGTTACCCAGAGTTCGGTTGCCGCGCCATGAACCAGTTCACACGCCTCAAACCGGCGAGCGCGTTGCTCTCGGATGCCTTCAGGGTCAAGGTTTGCGACTTCGGCTTGGCGCGCTGCGGCATGCAGTTCGACGCGGAGGCTCGGCGAGGATCCGCGAAGAAGCCGAGAAACAGGAAGCAGTAGCCGCAAGAGTGCGGTCCAGAGAGCAGCGGTATCGGTATATTGTTGTTCCTCCGTCCGGGATGCCAGAGGTCGAAGGAGGGCGAGGTGCCGATGATGCTGCCCTTCCCTCGTCGCAACGGCTGGGTTAGTTTCGAAGCCTTGGTCAGAACGCAGTCGCGGTATCGTTTTCTGTTCTCCTTCAACATCTATTCCTGAACCGAGGACGTCCCAGCGTTTCGAGCCCCTTGGGAGCACCTGGGGCCCTCTGGGCTTCGTGGGGAGCGAGTGCTCTGAAGGCCGCACGGGGCCCCCCCATGAACTCCTGGGGGCACCTTGGGCCTGGGATGGGCAAGGCCTCGGGTTTGCTAAGGCTTATAAGGTTCAGCTAAAGTTTAGCGAACATATAAAGGTTCATCGGAGGTTTAGCAACGACGGGCTTATAAGTTTTATAAGCGTTTATCGCGCTTTGAATATAAGCTATAAGCGGTCGCGCGCGCCGGCACGCGCGCACTCCAAACAGCACGTGTGTCTCCGCAGTTTCGTATAAATCCTGGGAGTCGGCGCATCAGGAATCATCGCTTCCCTGCCTGCTGCATGCTTCTCCACCCACCCCGATCTCTGATCAAGTGAACTCGCATCTCCTCTTCTTCCATCTCCTCCTCCTATTCCCCCCCCCCCCCCCCCCCCCTCACCCAAACGATCGCCTTTGCTGCGTCCCCCTGCCCCTCGTCCGAGGGATCGCAATCGCTGCCTCCCCCATCCTCCTCCTCCAGCTCTCGCGACAATGAGCCCGCGGAGCTATTGCGTGAGCTCTGAATGATCTGCAACTCTCGCGACCATGCGCCCGCGGAGCTATTGCATCAGCTCGCCGCCGATGCCGCCGTCGTCGCCGTCGCCGTCGGCCTCGCCATCTGTCGCCTTCGTCGTCGTCATCGTGCCCCCGCGGTTTTGTTGATTGAATTTAACTGCTTGATCGCTGAACGCGAGGAAGGAGGAGGGAACAGGAGGAGGAGGACGATGACGAGGAGAAGGAGACGTAGACGGAGGAGGAGGAGGCGAAGGAGGAGGAGAAGGAGGAGGAGGAGGAGGAGGATAAGGAAGAGGAGGAGGAATTCACGCCAGGTGCACGGGCCGTCTCTTCCCCTCTCCTCCTTTCTCTTCCTCCTCGCGTTTTTTGTTTGCTTTCAGCCGCGATGGATTGGGCGCGCGCGTTCGCGTAGTCATCGTTTCTGGTTGGGCTGTGCGGCGGGGTTCGCGAAGCGTATTCGAAGGGTTTTTACCAATGGGTGCAACGCGCGAGCGAGTCCCATGCTCACGAAAACCCGAGTGGCAAGATGATGCCGACGGTTCCGTCTGGGCATGCGCAGTACTCCACTGCAGCAAGAATGGCTTTGGTCCCCCAACACGCCGCAGGATAATCTGCAATTTCCCACACTGCGCTTTCATGTCTCATGGGTGCGCTGGCGCAGTTCCATAGCTCCCACCATAAACACAACTTCGCCACTGACATCGCAATGAAGCTTCACACGGGCGGCCAGCGTGCCATCGGCGCCATTCAATTGCACAGCGCCCCCTTGAGTGCATAAACCGAGTTGGCTGAAGTGAGCACCCTTGTCAACATTGATTGGGAGGCCAGCGCCTTCCAGTCCCAATGCGCCCATTATCGGCTGTCTGCTCTTCTCGGGCGCCCTGCGTCCCTGCGCCAAACCCAAGTAGGGGGAATCGGTGGGCCCACTTCTCTGTCCTGCGTGGGGTGTGTCTCCTTGCGTGGGGTGTGTATCCTTTTCTGTCCTCTCCTCTCTCCTTCCTCTCCTCTCCGCTCCTCTCTCCTCTCTCCCTCTCTCTCTCTCTCTCTCTCTCTCTCTCTCTCTCTCTCTTTCTCTTTTTTGTTTTCTCTCTCTCTCTCTCTCTCTCTCTCTCCCTCTTCTCTCACTCTTTTTGTTTTTTTCTCTCTCTCTCTCTCTCTCTCTCTCTCTCTCTCTCTCCCTCTCTCTCTCTCTCTCTCTCTCTCTCTCTCTCTCTCTCTCTTTCTCTTTCTCCTCTCTCTTTCTCTCTCTCTCTCTCTCTCTCTCTCTCTCTCTCTCTCTCTCTCTCTCTCTCTCTCTCTCCCTCTCTCTCTCTCTTTCTCGTTATCTCTGTCTCTCCCTGTCTCTCTCTGCTACATATGTGGTTGCCCATCAGCCCAGGCGCTGGGGTGTGATGGCCAAGGCTCAGAGTCACGAGGCTGGGTTCTCGCGTTGGGTAATGATTCGCTCCGATTGAATCATATTGAAGCAGTTGGATCGGACGTGCCAGCGTTTTTTCTGGTGGAAAACACAAAACGAAACAACATCCCAAAACTGTGCTGGCAGTTCTAGAAACAATCAAGTGAGTTCAGAACGTGTGCTGACCCGCGGAGTTGCGCCCAAGTTCCGCCGCCTGAATCTTGATTCTTTGGACCTTCAAACCTGTCAGGTCTTTATGCTGTTTCTTGTTTGGATTGTTTTGGTTCTTTTTAGACCTGTCAGCACCTTCCTGCTCCTCCTCCGCCTCCTCCTCCTCCTCTTCGTCCCCCTCCTCCTCCCTCCCCCTCCTCCCCCTCCTCCTCCTCCCCCTCCTCCTCCCCCTCCTCCGCCTCCTCCTCCTCCTTCCCCACCTCCTCCTCGTCTTCCCCCATCCTCCTCCCCCCCCATCCTCCTCCGACCCTCCTCCTCTTCCTCCCTCTTTCCTCCTCCTCCACCTCCATTTCCTCCTATTCCTCTTCCTCCTCCTGCTCCTCCTCCCCTTCCCCTCCCCTCTCGGTGAAATCCTCGGGTGGCCCTTCCTCCTCGCCATCCTCCCCACACTCCTCCTCCTCCTCCTCCCCCTGCTCCTGGCCCGTGGAGCCCCGCCCAAGATTCTTCGCCAGAGTGTTTTTGATGTTTGGAGGTGTATGTGTTACTTTTACCTAACAGCTTTTGCTGATAGGTTTCTGGTGGTTTCAAAAGAGAGCAGCAGATGACTCCACAGGGGGGTCGGGGCGGGACCCGGGGCGGTGCCGCCGAAGCCCAAATCGCTTGGGACATCTTCGCAAAATCGTTCTTGGCGCTGCTAGGACTCCATCCCCGGCGTACATTTTGGATGCCCGGAGCCAACTGTAGGCCACTTCGTGGTCTTCGAGTTCCCAGAACTCAATCCCCGGCGTACATTTTGGATGCCCGGAGCCAACTATAGGCCATTTCGTGGTCTTCGAGTCCCCAGAACTCCATTCCCGGGCCACATTTTGGATGCCCGGAGCCAACTGTAGGCCACTCCGTGGTCTTCGAGTTTCCAGAACTTCATTCCCGGCAATGACTGTGAATGCCCGGAGCCAACTGTAAGCCACTTCGGGTTCTTCGAGTTCCCAGAACTCCATTCCCGGGCCACATTTTGAATGCTGAGGCAGGCTGATGCTGAGGCTGAGGCAGGTTGAGGATGAGGCAGGCTGAGGCTGAGGCCGAGGCTGAAGACAGACTGAGGCTGAGGCTGAAGCAGGCTGAGGCTGAGGCTGAGGCAGGCTGAGGCTGAGGCTGAGGCAGGCTGATGCTGAGGCAGGCTGAGGCTGAGGCTGAGGCTGATGCAGGCTGAGGCTGAGGCAGGCTGAGGCTGAGGCCGAGGCTGAAGGCAGACTGAGGCTGAGGCTGAAGCAGGCTGAGGCTGAGGCTGAGGCAGGCTGAGGCTGAGGCAGGCTGAGGCTGAGGCTGAGGCAGGCTGAGGCTGAGGCCGTGACTGTGACTGCCGTTGCCACTGCGACTGTCATCGCGAATGCGACTACGACTGCGAGAACAGCAGAACTCTACAATTGGATTCTCATCTGAATCGTAAGGGGAATGCTTCCAGATATGCTCCTACACATCGCTGTTCGGTTGCTTTGCCGGGATAATTTGTTTGAAACAGTTGTCAGCACTTTTTTGTTCCTCCTCCTGTTCCTCCTCCTCCTCCATATTTTCCTCCTCCTCATCAGATTGCCCCTCCTCTTCTTCCCCACCCCCGTTGTCCAGGACGAAGCGGGGGGAGAAAGGGGGGAGAAAGGTGAGAAAGGATGAGGAATGACGATGGGACAGAGACGCATGTGATCGTGATTCAATATGATTCAATCGCTGTCTGCGAAGCGTCGCCACGCGAGGCTCAAGTGCAACGCGCAGACGTACCAAACTTTTGTTACATCACCGCGCTTCCACCTTGAAGATGCCAGGCGGCCCCCCATGCAATGGCAGGCTGACCTTCCAAGGCTGCCAGAGAGCAGTGGCTTGTCCACGTGTCAAAGGCCACAGCGACAGACCGTGAAATCCGCGTGCAGCGCGGGAATGCGCAGAATGCGCCGCGCGCCCCTGGCGGCGAGGCCGTCAGGGGCGGCAAATGGAAGGAAATGGGGTGGTCTCAGACGCGGCGGTGGTTCGCGGAGAAAAAAGGGGGTGGACGGGCGAACCCGCCCCTTGCCGCCGCCGCCTTCGTCGGCTTTGCCAGTGCCGGTTTAAACGCCAGCGCCGCCAGATCCACGGGCAAAGCGGCCCGGGCCCCCGCCGCCTTTGCTGGCTTTGCCAGCGCCGCTTCGACGACCAGCGCAGCCAGAGCCACCAGCAGAGCAGCCAGCGCTCTACGATCCAGCCCCGCCTCAAGCTGCAGGGCCGCTAGAACCGAACCAGGAAGCGGACGAGGGCAGCAGCGCCGAGAGCAGCGACGAGGGCTGCAGCGACCTCGAGACCGCAGAGAAAAAGGAGGAGGAACAGAGCCAGGAGGAGGAAAGCCAGGAGGAGCAGAGCCAGGAGGAGGAGAGCGAATTCCTCGACGAGAAGCTCACGGCCGCCGCTTTTCTCGAGCGCGAGCTTCGCCTGGAGAGCCGCCTTCTCCGCGAGGCAAACGAGCAGCTCCAGGAGGATAACGAAGAGCTGCAGTAGGAGAGGGCCCAGTTCATGCAGGGCCGACTGGACCACCTGGAAGAGAACAGCTCCTTGGAGCGCGAGAACAAGCGCCTCGGGCTCGAGCTGCGGAAGGCGAGCGAGGCCTGAGCGCGCAAGGCTGCCAGGCGGAGGGCGAGCGCCACTGGTGCAAAAATCGGTATGGCCATCTCTTTTGGATTCCATCACTCCTGTCGTCGCAACTCTCGCCCCTCGCTTGCTGCTTTCGCCAGCCTCAAGCGCGCGCAGGCGCGCGCGCCGCGCCTCAGCTGTCAGGCTCAAGCTAGCGCCGCGCCCCTGCAGGTGCGCGCCTGCGCTCGTGCAGGATGGCGAGCTGCGCCGTCTGCGGTCGCATGCCTGGCCTCGGCGCGTCGCGGGTCAAACGCTACGCGCCGAGTTATCATTCTAGAACTCAATTGGAATTTGCATGCATTCGCTTCGCACGATTCCGTTGTGAGTTGATTGCGCAGTGCGCGGCATCTGATAGGCAACCCGCAAGCGATGTCGCAGGTTTAACGCGTCTACACTACGCGTCGGTTTTTTCCTTGATGCCCTGTAAAGCTTCTCGCATCCCTACTGCAACGTGCGCATGGGGTGCCTCCAGAATATGACGCGGACTGGAGTGGCCTTTCTCGCAAGAAGACATCCTCGGACCGTTCGCGCTTCCAGCGGAGGAAGGCTGGGCCGAGCGCGCGGCCGCGCTCTCGGATGGGGAGGCCGATCTCCTGGCCCACGCAGCGCTGTGGGAGTCGGGGGCCGCGCCCGACGACGACGTCGACGACGTCGACGACGTCGTCGAGGGCGAAGAGAAGGAGCGCGAGTGAGAATCCGATGAATTCCTCGATGTGGAATCCAGTGACGAGATCACAGACGTTCCCGAGGATGACGACGTGCTGACCGAGCTTGCGTCGGAGTTGGGGGATGAGGACAGCGGCGCCTACGGCGATGGCGATATGGGCGATGGCGACAGCGAGGAAGGTGACCTGGGCATCAGGACTGCACGTGACATGGGTGGGAAGGCGGAATGTGATCCACATTGCTAGGGCCGCGTGTAGTTCGGCTATGTGCAGGCGGGATGCGTGCCAACGCGGAATGTGCTCCGCACTGCTAGGGCCGCGAGTAGTTACCTTTCTCGCGCATGCAATGCAGGGCGCGCGCATAATTTTACTTGCTCGCCACGCGGATTGTTTAACGGGGGTGGACGTTTTGCGTTCTTCGGAAAAAGGCGCGCAGCCATCGTCCATTGCTGAGTTGGCAACCTGCCAGATTCCACCCATTCAGATCGCGTTCCTGTTCAAGCCTGTAGCCTTCGATCGCCGTCTCTCCGCCAGCTCTTTACGCCCTGCTTGCAATGCCATGCAGACGTTGCTATGCTAGCTTGCGCGCTTGGAGTATTTCGCATGATCATCGTGGATTCTTGCAGTGCAGCCAACAACGTCATCGTCCATGCTCTTGTAGCGCGTCTGTGAATGCACTTGGCAGAGACCGATTGAATCATATTGAATGACGGTCATCTGCGCCTCTGTCCCATAGACCATCTAGCGTCGAGCAGAGTAGCTCGGTCCATATCTAGGCTGGCCGCTGTCATTTGCTGCTCTTTTGCCATGGCCTTCCCAGCAGACTGGACCGACGACATCGAGCAGCGGGCTTCCAGGTGCAACGAGGTTGCGAACGCGCCCGTCGCAGGCGGCCACAACGCTGGAACGGGTCACAACATCGCTTTGACTGGCGTGTTCAAGAACATGAACTGCATAGCGTCCAGCAGCGCCTCTCACGCGGTGGACGTCTTCGCCGTGGACGGCGCCACCCCTGCCGGCGAGATTGGTCAGACATCCCGCACGGGAGGGCCGTTCGCCAGTGCTGAGCCGCGCGGATTGAAGGGTGAGTTGGGCACAACTCCGACGTCGTTTTCGCTCCTGCTGGTGCCTGGCGAAAACTCGAAGCGCATCGTCGTCAAGCAGCTGTGCTTCCCAGACAAGGTGGACGAGAATGTGGCCGCTAATCTCTGCACGGGCACGCCCATGGATGGTAATGCGCTGGGGGAATATTGGCTTTCCCCCTCGCGCAAGTTGACGTTGCGTAGAATCAATGTGGGATTCCTTCCAGGGCTTCCAGATCAGGGCCTCCTGTCTGGAAGAGCTCCAGCGCGGCGGCGGGCACGGCCACGAGACAGCGGTTTACACTGACGAAGGTCTCGATTACATCGTGGCGAAGGCCCAGGAGGTTTTGTCCGACCGAAGGCAGTTGGGCATGGCGCGGTGGATCCACATGGAGGCGCAGGACGAGGCCTCTCCGATCCTCAACTGGCCGCACGGCACCATCGAGAAGGCTCTGAACACCATCGCGACCGAGGGATATTTGGCCAAAGTGTTGCACAATTGGCTTATGACACTTGCCGTGCTCGAGCCCTCGCTTTTGCGGGCCCTGAAAATGATCGGGGCAAGCCTCGGCGACGCGTCCATCGCGTGTTTCGGCGTGCCAGGCGCGGGCAAGACACCCGCTTCTATCGCCGTCGCCCTGACGCGGAGCAGGGGATTGGGAGGCGGGCCGTCCTGCGCGTCTGAAATTGGCGTCTTTCGCCAGCTCGTGTCGACGCCCAAGTGCCCCGTCATGTTGGGCAACTTCGATAGTTCGTCGGTTCCCGCGAAGGCGATGGAGGTGTTTTTGGACGTCGCGGTCGGCGACAGGGCGACTTGGGCGATGGGGCGGACGCAGGTTCGCAACTGGATGTTTCTCACAGGCCATCGACAACAAGGTCACCTTGGAGGCGGAGCCAGACGTCAATCGCCCACCGACTGCGCGCCCTGATGCGATCACCCACGAGGAGCGCATGCGCACGGTGGCCGTTGCCTTTTCACAAGGGCGCTACTCCTTCAGATTGCTTGGCCCATTTGAAAAGGGCCAACGCGGTGCTGCCCACCAACGAATGCCTGTATTACAGACTGGCAGGGCACGAGAAAGTCGATGCGCCCCGCTTGCACATGGCAGGCCAGAAGAAAAGGATGGGCTTGTCGACGCATGGAAACCGCATTACAACAAGTTCAAGAAGGGCGACGGGACAATCAAGCCGCCGTGTTGGGCTGAGGCGGTCACTTGGGAGATTGCTCGGGTGAAGCACGCGCGGGGTGACGGCCCCGACCCTGGCGAGCCCCCCGTGCCCTGGCTTCCTGACCGCTGTTGGCAGCGAAGCGCAAGTTCCTATCTTTGCGCAGCGTCGTCAACAACGAGCCGATCGACCTCGACGACGTCGAAGCCCCTTGCCAGGGTTTGCCCCGCAACAAATCCATGGGCGGTAGCCAGGCTGAGTTCGACGTGCAGGAGGATAAGGGTTGAGCGCAGATCGCGTAGGTGGGCGCAGGTGCACTCGGGTGCGCCCGCGGGGCAATTGGGTTGGTGATGGGAGAACATTCACTTCGACGCGTGAGAACGTCCGTTCCTTTTCATGCGAAATGTACATCGGAAAAAGCGCGCTGTCATCGTCCACTGTTGAGTTGGCATCGCGCCAAATGTCCACCCACTCAGATCGGTTTCCAGTTCGAGCCAGTAGACTTCTATCGTCCTCCCTCCGCCGGCCTTGTTTGCCTTGCTCGCAGTGCCATGCAGACGCTGTCTTTCAAGCTTGCGCGCTTGGCGGTTGCGTTCCGATTTGCCATCGCTGCGTTCCGTGAGCATCAGCGTGTCACCTAAGGTGTGCCTCACTGGCGGCAACTGATTGTTCCTCGCCCAACTACTAAGGTCGCCCGTTTTCTGGTCAGGCGCGCCTGACCGACGTGCCGCCTCCTCTCTGTGTTCGCTCACCACCTCCAGAATATTCCAACTCCCCCGAACAAAAATCGCATGGTTCGGGCGTCGTCATGCCAGTCGTTGCAGCTCCCGGCCTCGGAGCGTTGAGTCTCGCATCTCGCGCGGCGCACTCTCCAGAGCATTTGGCTTGAAGATGGGATCCGGTCGAGCCCGCTGCCGCTCGTCTACAGCTCAGCTGGCTGGGGCATGGCAGAGAAGTGTCTAGGGTTCCCTGGACATTGCGTTTTCGCAATCGAAGACGCGTTCCCCGCATTCGAATACCGCGTTTGTTCCAACAACGCACTGTGGTGTTCGAACATGTGTGTTCTTTGTTCGATGGTTCGCCATCGTTCCATGTGTAACTGACTAAGCGCTTGTTTATGCGAGCGTCATTTGGTTTGTTGGAACATATTTCGTGCGTTCGAAAATGCATGGGTTTGACCGCGGGACTTCGTTAGCCATAACCAACCAGACGAGGCTCATCTACGGCGTGCCGAAGGCGTGCAGGAGGCCCGCTGGTGCCCCAGCGCCGCCGCCGCCCGCGCGCGTTGTGACGCCGCTGGAAAGGTGCGCTTGTTGCAGTTACCCGCTGGCCAGTGCTCGCGAGACGATCGCGGCGCGCGTGGACCTGACGGGCACACGCGACGCGATTCACGCCCTCAAGCGTTGTTCCAACAAGTTTTGCAGAGTGCGCCACGGGTACAACTATTACGTTATCAATGGCCAGCACGTCAACACTCTATCCGCCCGCGACATGAAGGACGGCCTGCTGTTCGCATCCGCGGCCCGGGCCTGGGCGACAAGGTATCTGCAGTGCCGCGAGAACCTGTTCTTCCGTGGCGTTGCGTCGTCGCGCAGCGTCGAGTGGTCGCATGAGGATGCGTTCAGCGCCGAGGGCTTGGCGGTCGACTTCCGCAAACAGCACAACGACGCAATGTTATATTTCATGGCAGTCAAGGAGTTGCGGGCCGTGAACAAGCATGTGGGCATTTAGCGCTTGGGAGCCTCAAGGCGCACCGCGAGCACCGTCGCGCCAGCGTCTTTCCTCCCGCCGACAAGGGCAGCGTGGAGGAGTTGGTAGCAGACGGCCATCAGAAGGCGCGGGCACTCAGTTGTCACTGGAATGGGGCGACGTCGGCGGCGGGCGACGTCGGCTGCTGCACTCGCGGCTGGTTCATGGCCATTGACGCGAGCTCGCACCAGATCTTTACGGTGCGCGAGCAAAGGCGCCCAGAAAACAATTATGCTAACGGAGTTCTCCACGTGAAGATGTTGCGGGGTTCCATTGCTTCTTGTCTGCGCTCTGGTGGGGCCTCCCTGGAGGGGCGGGAGGGGCGCGAAACCTGATGAATAATATGGTGTGCGAATACACTGCCCGCTCTGGTGGGGCCTCCCTGGAGTGGTGGGAGGGGCACGAAGCCTGATACATAATATAGTGTACGGATACCCTGCCCGCTCTGGCGGGGCCCCCCTGGAGGGGTGGGAGGGGCGCGACACCTGATAAATGACATGGCGCGCGGATGCCCTGCCCGGGGCCTCCCTGGAGGGGCGGCAACGGCACGAAACTTCCTAATAATATCTGGCGTGCGAATGCCCTGCCCGCTCTGGCGGGGCCCCCCTGGAGTGGCGGGGGGGGCGCGAAACCTTATAAGTAACATGGCGTGCGAATGCCCTGCCCGCTCTGGTGGGGCCTCCCTGGAGGGGTGGGAGGGACATGAAACCTGATAAACCACATGGTGTGCGAATGCCATGCCCGCTCTGGCGGGGCCTCCTTGGAATGTTGGGAGGGGCGCGAAATTTGATATATATATATATATATATATATATATATATGTATATATAAAATGGTGTGCGGATGCCCTGCCCGCTCTGGCGGGGCCCCCCTGGAGGGGTGGAGCGGCGCGACACTTGGTACATATTATGATGCGCGAATGCCCTGCCCACTCTGGCGGGGCCTCCCTGGAGGGGTGGGGGGGGCACGACACCTGATAAATAACATGGTGTGCGAATATCCTGCTCGCTCAGGCGGGGCTTCCCTGGATGGGGTGGGAGGGGCGCGAAACTTGATAAATCACATTGTGTGCGAATACCCTGCCTGCTCAGGCTGGGCCTCCCTGGAGGGGTGGGAGAGGCGCGAAAGCTTAATACATAACATGGTGTGCGAATGTCCTGCTCGCTCAGGCGGGGCCTCCCTGGAGGGGTGGGATGGGCAGGATACTTGATAAATAACATGGCGTGCGAATGCCCTGCTCGCCCTGGTGGGGCATCCCTGGAGGGGTGGGAGGGGCGCGAAACTTGATGAATAGCATGGTGCGCGAAGACCCTGCTCGCTCAGGCGGGGCCTCCTTGGAGTGGTGGGTGGGGCAGGAAACTTGATAAATATCATTGTGTGCGAATGCCCTGCTCGCTCAGGCGGGGCCTCCCTGGAGTGGTGGGAGGGGCACGAACCGTGATAAATAACATGGTGCGCGAATGCCCTGCTCGCTCAGGCGGGGCCTCCCTGGAGAGGTGGGAGGGGCGCGAACCGTGATAAATAACATGGCGTGCGAATACCTTGCTCGCTCAGGCGGGCCCCCCCTGGAGGGGTGGGAGGGGCGCGAAACCTGATAAATATCATGATGTGCGAATACCCTGCTCGCTCAGGCGGGGCCCCTCTGGAGTGGTGGGAGGGGCGCGAAACCTGATAAATAACACGGTGCGCGAAAACCCCGCCCGCTCAGGCGGGCCCTCCCTGGAGGGGTGGGAAGGGGCGCGAAACCTGATAAATAACTTGGTGTGCGAATGCCCTGCTCGCTCAGGCGGGGCCTCCCTGGAGGGGTGGGAGGGGCGCGAAACCTGATAAATATCATGATGTGCGAATACCCTGCTCGCTCAGGCGGGGCCCCTTCTGGAGTGGTGGGAGGGGCGCGAAACCTGATAAATAACACGGTGCGCGAAAACCCCGCCCGCTCAGGCGGGCCTTCCCTGGAGAGGTGGGAGGGGCGCGAAACCGGATAAATAACATGGCGTGCGAATGCCCTGCTCGCTCTGGCGGGGCCTCCCTGGAGGGGTGGAAGGGGCGCGAAACCTGATAAATCACATGGCGTGCGAATAGCTTGCTCGCTCAGGCGGGGCCTCCCTGGAGGGGTGGGAGGGGCACGAAACCTCATAAATAACATGGTGTGAGGAAAGGCATGATATGGCATGGGATGGTGGATGCATGGCATGGCAGGGTAAGGCATTGTATGGAGTGGCATGATATTGGCATGGCATGACACAGCATGGGATGGTGGAGGAAGCGGGAGGGGGGGGAGGAGGAGGAGGAGGAGGAGAAGGAGAGGATGTTCTGGGAAAACAAGAACCCCATTCAGGATGTGGGGGATGAGATCTCCCGCGCGTGTTTTGGCGAGGCCCTGCCCCTGCGCAGTGGCGTCAACTGCCTCATCATGGGTCGCGCGCGTTCCTTTGCGCCCTCGGCGTCCAAAGATTGGAAATACAAGCAGCTGAAACATTACTCGGTGGGCAAGTTTCACCGCAAGTACCGCGTCAGCGCGTGCAAACGCAATCCGCATCGCATCGACCGCTTGGAGCGCCGCCTCAGCAAAGTCAACAGTTCTATCGCGGAGATCACTGTCGTCGCTTTTCTGCGGCTACGCGCGCAGCTTTCACGAGCTGCGCGCGGAACGCCATCGGTTCATCGTCTTGCATTTCGCCCACCGGCACAACGTTTTCGCGGTCTCTGGCGACGCCGGACACTTGAGCAAGCACTCTGCTGTCACCGCGGGCAAGAAGGCTTCCAAGTCGCACCCGCGCGAACCCAGGGGCAAGGGGGCGTCCGCCGCGCGCAAGAACCGCGGGCCCGCGACGGCGCGGGCCGCCACGGAGAAGAAGAATAAGAACAAGGGCAAGAAGATGACGAAGAAGCCCGCGCAAAGCGACATGGTTATCGCTAGGACGCCGGCTCAAAAGACGAAGGGCAACAAGTGAGATGTATGTTTTCAGACAAATTCGGCGCGCAGAAACGGCAGAGCTTCAGGCCACCGGCATTCGGATACTGCGATATTGGTACAGGGGGTGCTCTGAAGCAGCTGGCGTTACAGAGCTCGTGCAATGACGTCTGAGAGGCAAAGGCATGCTCTGGTGCAACAGACGCTCCAGAATTCTCGGGGTTGCATCTAGGGGCGAAGATGCGATCAGCAAAAGAGTCCTGCTCCGAAGTGCCGGCATGCGTGTCGGGTGCCGGCGCAGTCGCAGGCACCGTTCGTGCCTTCAGGAAACCGTTACACAGTGCATGGGCCGATATGCGATGCATACAATGATGTTGACGTCGTCGATAATCGAAAGCGTGGCGGCGGTGTGATCATGGCGATGATGATGATGCTTATGATCATGATGGTGCTGCTGATGAGGATGGTGCAGATGATGATGGTGATGCTGATTGTTACGCGACTGACGACGATAATGATGAGCTGCGAGCCCAAAAAAGCGGGCCCACCTATTCCCCCGATCTCACCAAGCCAACGTCATAATCAAACTGCGGCTCGTGATCGCAGAAAGGCGATGGGCAACGCACTCGCTCAGCAACGACTTGGTTGCGCACCTCTGTGGCGTCCTATGCTTCCGCTCAAGGCAAAAACAATGTCATGGCCGCTTGGTTTTCTCAAGAACCTCGGGGAGGTGGAGAAGCCAGTGGCATTTCGGCGTTAACCATTCAAACCCGAAAGCAGCAGTAAACGAATCTAGGAACTTATGAACGCAACCCGAAAGCCTTGCTGGGCTCACGTTGACCCGACTAGTTGCCACCGCGAGCTGCGATAGCTAAATACAGGAAATCATAGCGTCGCAAGCTGCACTGTCTGAGCCCACGGGTGGCATGGCTGTTTGCGCGATCAGCATTAGCACGCCCGGAAATCAGAAAATCAGATGGATGGCATGTTGTGCGTTTCGCCTCTCTTCTTTCCGACCTGCATCAAACATGCTTGCCAAATTCGTCGCGTGGAACCTTCCCGGGGCCGCCCAATTTGCCAAGCAACCAGAGGATGCTTCCCAGACGGCGCTCCCTGCTGATATGAAGGATCCGAACGTCAATTTAATCGCAAGATGCACCACACTGTCGACAAACAGCACGTTCATATTGTCATGTATTGACCCCTCCGTTGGGTTGATCAGCCTGTCTAAGGCTCTATCCAGCAACAAGCCCCGCTTAGCAAACGTCGAGCCCAACGCTTGCTGCGACAGCGCGAAACATCAGCATTCGACGAAGACATTGACATACGTTCCATATATCTGGCGTTCGCGCGAAGCTCATGGCCTGTGGGCGCCAAGAGCTCATCGAGATGCATTTGGTTGCAACGCAACATGGCTGAATCGTCCTCGCCGACAATCTTTGAATCATGCGTGAACGTGCGCTTACGCAGCATGCAAAACTTGGACGCGCCGTCGCCCTTTGCTTGCCAGACTGCTTTGCGAGCTCCGCCTTCTTGCAACACCGCGCCCGCTTTAGCGAGCCGCCTGAAGCTTTCCCCGTCTAAGTCTAGCGCGCCATCAGGCCTGAACAAGCACTTGATAGCCTCGGCGAACGCATGGCTCAACCCAACAGAGAGGGAAGAAACATAACAGGATAACTCAGTCATCAACGCAAACCAGCTCTCTTCGTGACTGAGCGCGCTCGCGCCACAATTCAAGGAGCTCCAATGTATAGATTGGAACTTTCTTCTGTTCGCTGGTGATAAGGGGTTCCCTGGGGCAACTTCGTCGGACTGCAAAATCAAGTTCCATGGTTCCCCCGGCGTCGCCGGGTGAAACATCAGTTGGCGCTTCAAGAACTTCAGAAATATTGCGCTTTCGTCGACAGCTGCCGCTAACAGCTGCCGCTGTCGCTAACAGGCGATGGGCATGCTAGCTGGCTCTTCCTCTGCATCAATACGCGTGAAATATGCCATATACGGCCATGCTGGCCGGCAGTTGCGGTAACCGCATCCCTCGCGGCCCGCTCAGAGTTCCGACCCATGACGTCTGGGGGCCCATGGCCCCTCGCGCCCCCCAATTTTGCAGCCGAAACAGAAGCTGTGCAGTGAGGCTTGGTGCGACGGAACTCATTCAGCCTGCGCAGCTTAGCAGCCCGCGTTAGATCCATCCGACACGACGCCAGACGCTGCAATGCCCGCTGGGCGAAGTGTGCCACGGACGGGGGCGCCGGGGCACTGCTTCAGAACATGGATGCACAACTGACGACGCGACGAGCATACATGTTTTTTCTCGAGACAGACCTCGCGGCTTGCAATCCGGTCGAGAGCCAGGCGCCAGCTTGAACGCAGCACGCCGTGCTTGTATGTTCGGCGAAAGCCCTGGTCATATGAAGCTTGAGCCATGCACGTCTCGCTCGTATTTAGCGTCGTCGATCGCCTTCGCCGCTGCAGCCTGCGCCTCAGCGGTCGGCTTAGGCTCACCACGTGCCTCAGAACTCCCGGAGTTGTAGCCTGACCAGCCCGCGCGGCTATGGGCGCGTTCTGAGAGCCATTCTCGTTGCCCACACCATCCTTCCCACCCGCCCATGGCCATCGTTGCCAAGCGGCGACCCGATCCCAAGACGAGCGAGGGGGCGACGTGGAACGCGCCACCAGGGTTGGAGGGTGGGAGGGGGAGGGGGGGATTGGGAGTTGGGCGAAGGGGCGGTGCAAACACCTGATTCCAACTATCTGTTGCTGTTTCCGAATGGCGTTCGGAGTCTTCTATCGCGCGGGGGGGGGGGGGGGTGCTGGCGATATAGACGAGGGCGCGGGAAGATGTGGGAGGGGGGCTGCTGCGCGGGGGCGGCCCAGGAAGTTCGCGCCGCGGTCCTCGGGCCACGCAGCGACAGAACCAACGCCCCAAACAAACTCCGAGAGGACACGCTAAGGGGCTATAAAATGCCGTCGCACCCCTGTAGCGGACCTCAACGCAGACAAACAACGACGCCACAACATGGCTGGGCGGACGCACGCGCGACTCGACGCACGCAAGACACCCAACGCATCGCCGTTGTTGTCGCTGGCGAAATCAAGACCTTCAGGGGGGTCACCGGCGCACCAGCGCCCGCAGACAATCCCGACCAAGCGGTGTTCTGGCTGGCGGTGGTTCGCGAAGCATCATGAATCGCCGCGCTTTTTGATGGCGCGGGAACGCTTGGCCTTGACGCTCGCGTAGATGATGCTTTGCTTGTAGACCACTGGCGGGGGATTCGAGCCGTCCTTTGGCAACTACGGCATTGCATTAATTCTTAGACTTCGGACCCGGCTTCAAGTCGGCATCCTCGGGCTCACCCCCGCGTTTTGCAGCCTCGGCAGGCTCGACCCTCACAGCCTTGTCAGGCTTGGCGGTGGCAGTGTCTGCTGCCAGGCGCATCCGCGGTGGCGCCTCGGCCGGGGCCGCAGGTGCCGTGTCTTTCTCTGTTTTGGCAGTCTCCTTCTGAGCTAAGGATTTCACCTTCGCTTCTTCCTGCTGCTTAGCTCTGCGCTTCTTGAGGGAACTGTCGCAGCGAGGGCGCGCGGGCCCAGGCCCTCTTCGCGCGGTCCGTCGCAAGCATCGGCGGGGCCGCGCTCGGCGCCGGCGTCGGAGGCGCGCTCCGCCTTAATAGCGTCTTGCTCCTCATGTTTAGGTTCTGGCTCACACTTGACAGGCGGCCCAGGTTTGCGAGCGCCCTCAGCGCCCCGCGGTGGATAGCAAAGCTGCTTCGCGGCTCGGAGTCAAGAGATGCTGTCAACAGGCCCCTGTTGCAGCGTAGCGAGATCCTGTTCGCGATCGCGCCCATGCCTTTCCTTGAGCTCAATCTTGGTCGTCTGGTCATCGCCGGGGCAGGCGGCCTGGAAGGTGTCGGGTGGAAGCTCGAATGGCGAAGCTTCGTTTTCCATGGTGCGAGCAAAGCCGAAATCATTTTTCCTATAAGTTCAAGTCCCCCAACATGCTGCGCACCTTCTTCGGTTCGGGTGGGGCGTCGTAGTGCGTGGCAAGCGACGTTGCCAGGGCCCACTTGTAGTCTGCTCGCTTGGCTCAATGCATCCAACGCCCATGCCGCGTTCGACCAGCGTCGTCATCTTGCGGTTCAGCGGAATCTCGGGGTCATTGATCACCCCCCAGTCCGACGACGTCAAGTATGACCACCACTTCTTAAGCAATTGCTCGTTCGCGGGGCCTTCGGGCTTGACGGGGTCGCAGCCCTTAGCGACCTTGCTGTCGACCATAGACATGATCCGCTTGGTCTGCTCTTCGCCGCGCGGCTCACCCCTCAAAGCGTCGACGAGCTGGGTGGCCTCGGCTGGCCCGAGGCATTTTCTGTCGTTCATCATGCTGATCACAGCGTCGGCAAAGCTCTGCTGGGGCGCGCGGCTGGCGCTGCTGTTTGCACCGCTGCGATCTCTCCTTCGCGAGCGAGCTGCAGCTGCAGCCTGCCGTGCGACTTGCGCACGTGAGCCAACAAGCTGCGAGAGGGGTCAGCCCTCAGGCTCGCGAGGGGGACAGCCTTCAAGCTCGTGAGCCAAGCGGTTGTGGCTGAGATGGTAGGCTGGAGTACGCCATGCGCAGTCGTGGAATCACGTGATGCTCGAATTATGTTGCGTCTTGCTTTGATGTGTGCGGCGCGCAGCATAAACGACGTGGCATGGGGGAAGGGCGGGGAGGGGGGCCGCCCCATGGGACGAGCGAGAGGGGCAACGGAGCCAGGATAAGGAGGAGGAAAGGGGTCTGGGGGAACGACGACATACACAAAATGAGACGGCACCGCAAAGAACACCATCGTCGCACCGTCTGGCGTCGGGGCATACCCATTTCCACGGCTTGTGGCATGCCATCATGCTGGACATGTTTGCGTTGTGTTGGTTTGATGTATGTTGTGACCTGCTTTGTTACATGTTCTGAATCGCGACATGGGCGGCGTCGCATGGAGGGGGGGCGAGGCGCGGGGGGGGGGGGCGCGAGATGAGCGAGAAAGGCCGCGGAGCCAGGGGAACGAG